CAGCAGTCCCATCGTCACCCCGTCCTCAGAGCAAAACTGAGCTGTCTTGGGTGCTCACGCTCTTGTTCCGTTAATCTGCTGCTTTCTGTTTTCTGTTGTGGATCCTCCAAAAATTACCTTCCGTATTTCACCTGGCAGACAGTTACTGCATTGTAGCTCTAGCACCAAATCATAGACTTTCTGTTATATAAAAAGAGGTAAAAAATGTGCCCTGGCTTCTGTGGCTGGCAGCTCCAGAAAAAGTCAGATCCTTGCTCAGATCTCTGCTTTTTCCTAATGGCAGATCAAAGCTCCTCTCGGCAGTGAGACCCTGAGGCATTTGCTAGAAGTGTTTGCTGCAGTGATCCAGTGCAAACCACAACTGGCAAGTCAGCACGGACAAGGTTAGTGTCACCTTGAAGCATCATCAGGATCTAAGTTAAATCTTTCTAGCCAGGCCCAAGTAATTAAAGCTCTTTTCCCCCTAGTTTCTTCCCCCAGCTGTGGTAACTCTGCAATTCTGGGGTCCATTTGGATGAAGATTTGGCCAGAATACCCCAAGATTTCCCCAAACTATCCCTATAATTCCATACTTAGACTAAAACACTTTGGCTCCTTACCTGAACATCTCTCTCAATCTGAGATCTACCACTAATTGCAGCCAAAGAACGAAGGGGAGAGGCTGGTGGGACACACAACTTGGCTTGGTCATTGCAAAGCTCTGTACGTAGAGGTGGGTTTGTGCCGGCACACGTGCGTTTGTACTGTACGTACCTGCTGCGTTGCAAGTAAGGACACATTTTTAAGGTGCAAGCGTCTCCCGAACCTCCAAACCAGCAGCACCAACCAAATGTTCTTTGCAAGAAGCCCCTGAGAACCAGAGCGATGCAAATCCAGCAGCAGTGGCTGGCGTTGGCAGACAGATGCGTGCAATTCCTTACAGTGGTTTCCACAGGAGCTGTTGTCTTTTTGCACATCCTTGGAGTGAAACCCACAGGAGATAAGGAGAAGAGGATGAGCAAAGCGTCTCCCACGTTGCTTTCCCCAGCACGTCCACGCAGCAGTGCCCTGGGGCTGAAACATGAGTTTGGGGGTTGAGGAGCCCACCAAGAAGCTGAAGAAATGTTTTGTTTGGGTTTTTTTTTCGTTTTTTTTTTTTTTTTTTTTCTCCTGAATTCATCTTGGGGTGAGAAGATCTGCCAAAGCAAAGGCTGCAGTGCCAAGCAAGGGCTCCTCGGGTGCCGCTGCTGCTGAGATGGAGAAAGCGGAGAGCTGGCGGCCACCTGATCTTCTCATCCAAGTCCCCGCCGCTGAAATCCCCCGAGTTGGATTTTTGCGCTCTTGGGTCGAACCGAGTTTCTCACTGAGGAAAAAAAAAGATTCCAGGCCTGGAAGGTCTCTCTATGATGGGTTTGGGTTATCATTTTACAATGTATATTACCTTTAAGCGCTTTCACTGCTCCCCTGATGAACTCTTCAGGTTCCACTGAGCAGAGGGATCGTGGGGAAATCACGCTGCAATCAACTTCAAGAAGACATTCACATCATGTTGGTTTAGGTGGAAACAGTAAACTTGATTTATTGAAAAAAATCTATTACATTTATTCCTTTATTACACAGGTTTAAAATATTTAAAAATAGCTTTTATGGGCATTACACTTAAATTTTATGACACGTTTATTGGACTTTGAAGAAATGTACAATATGTCATTTGACACTATATTTTAAAAAGGGCCTTATGTACTAAAATTTTTTTCCATAGGTTTTATTTTTCTTATCAACATTTGTTCAAGTCATATATATTAAGGGAGGAGGAAAATAAAATTACACAAAAAGAATGTCTGCAAATACAAGTAGTAATTTTATTGCAATATACCGTAGCTAAGTGGTCTGGGGAAATCGGAACAGTTTGGAGCTCAGTACAATTACAACACTGGAATTCAACAGAGGAATTTTTTTTTTTCTTAAAGCAAAGAAATAAAAAGAAAAATAAAAGAAAAAAGCTCCCTTGATGAAAATTTATAACAGAATCACATGACCTAGACAGACGCACACATGCGTACATACATCGATATATGGCTTATCTGTTGCAGAGAGGAATGTGCAACCTTTTCTGACCTTCCCACTGTTCCTGGACAAGGCTCTTGCCAAGGTGACGGAGAAGCTGCATTCTCCTATATATTATTATATACTCCTTTTCACTGCTTTGCTGCCAGAGTCTGCAGTTTTTAGGGTAGCACCTTTTCCCCCCCCCCCAACTGGGAAAAAAAAAAATGAGAGAGAACACAACAGAAGGGGGGAGACGGATGGATACGGCTCTCCCAGACCGAAAAGCACCGCACAGCATCGCCGCTCCCTCCAGCATGGCTTTGCCTCCCTTCCTCGGATGCTGCTGCTTTCTGCTTGGGAAGGAGGGGGGAAAGACATCATATATAGGCTTTTCTTCACAGTAAATGTGATGTCTTTTCCTTTATGGTGAAAGACCCCCCCTTGGCTCAAGCCTTGCTGTAATACTCCAGGCCAAATAATAATAAAAAAAACACCCTGCAACATCTATTTTCCAGCCAAGAGATCTAAACAAGGAAAACAGCCAGGGAGAAAACAAACAAACAAACGGAAAAAGAAGATGGTGTCAGCAGGTTGCGAGCTGAAAACGCTGCATGGGAAAAAAAAAAGCCATCCTGGCAGAGCCACCATGGGAAGACCAGGAAAATTGCAGACTCCTGGGAGTGCTCGGCGGGCAGGCACCCACACGGCTTCAGCATCACGTCAGGACATCCAACAAATACATAAATTAGCACCACAAACATTCAGCGACTGAGTACAATCTGGTATGGTTACCACCGTATAAAATGCATGAATATTCTTGGGGGGGGGCGGGAAGAAAAAAATGCATAAGCACATTTAATACTTTTTCTACATGGACCGCATAAGCTACCGCAATACAATTAAGGAAAGGAGTGGGTCTTCTACATAACAAATATGAAGGTGGCATGCATTTATAATCAAAGACTGTAGCAAAAGCCTGCAGCCTGTGTTGAAAGTGGCTAAAAAGCAAAGGCTGGTGGGAGATTGGCCAATGGCAGGGTATCACCAGTGTTGTATTAAAGTTATTCAAATAGATAGCACCAGAGACATGTAAAAATAAAAAGCACCTTTTTTTTTTTTTCCTTTTTTTTTTTTTAATATACTTTCTATTCTGAGAGGACAAATGGATTTCCCCTGCCACTGCAATCTGCCGCTGGGAATAGCTTTTTTTTATTATTATTTTAAAAGAATGCTGAAGGAAGAAAAGAAGAATTAATTTAAACCATGTATGTTAAGGTAAGCAAGCATATAAAAAGGCAGAGACTCAAAGGAGATCCTGCTTTTAGACCAGGGTTTTGTAGAAATCTTGTTAAAAAGTGGCTTTAATTTCCTTTTTTTTTTTTGAAGCAAATCATTGCAAAAGGCATCTGTGGCTCAGGGGGCTGGTTTGCCAACTCACTGGGCCCTCATCCTGCAAAGACCCGTGCCTGGGCGTAGCTCCAGGCGCCTCCAGATCCAGGCTTGGAGTTGGGAAGAGGCAGGGGCGGTGGGGACGTGAGCTGCCGTCTTCATTCTGAGGTGGATGCTTGGCTGGGATGGTGGTGGGAGGGGTGGTGGTTTTAATACAGACAGGGTCACATGCATGTTTTGAAGCCAGAAACATTTAAACATTTAAAATAATATACAATACAAATATTTACTTACAAACATACAAAAATATAAGCACCTTTAATACATGGGAAAGAGATGCCCAGTGTGACTTTTAGCTATCAAATTCATGGGGTTAAATTTTGTAAAATGTAGAATTAAGCGATTCAATGGAGATACTAAAAATTCTGGAAATTGCCATGATGTCTGCTTGCTAGAGCCAATCCAAATCTTGTGGAAGTCAATGAAATGTCTCCGATGGGCTTCGGCAGGGTTTGGATTGGAGCCAGGACTGCCAGGACTTCAACGTCAAGCTGAACACAGGAGTTTCAAGTTTTTTCCATTTTTCCTTAGAAACAAATAAACAATAATCTATAGACAAGCTTGCAAGAAGAAGAAGTCATCTTTGACGGCGGTAGGGTCTGCTCAGTGGCTGTGGAGCAGCAGCGGCGGGAGCACCGGTGGCAGCGGCGCAGGGACAGGTCTCCAGGCCACGCGTGCGGCGGTCGGTCATGCGATTCTGTGTCTGTTGTGGGAACGGTTCTCTCGGTCGGCGGTTCGGTACATGTGGGTGCGGTGGCACAGAGGAACTCGGGCAAAATGAGGAACAAAACGAAACGGAAAAAATAACCCATCGCTGTCCAGTTTCAGAACGTGCATGTGACAAGGAATTCTTTTTTTTTTTTTTTAATTAATTAAATGGCGCAATGAGGTTACGAGGTTGCTCATTTGGAGACTAGTTTTCAGGTGGCTCTTAGCCCATGAAGCAAGCTGGTCCCACCTCGAATCCAAATTTCTGTGACGCTTCTCCGAAGTCATTGAACATGATGTCGACTATAGGTACTTGCTCTACTTTGGGTGTGTTGATTTCCAGGATAGTCTTCTGATAGCCCTTCTTTGCCTGATGGGGAGAAGAGGGAGAGAGAGGAGCTCTGATGATGCCTCCAAGCCAACAACAGCCAGTTATCATGAATGAGCATTCACCGGTCAGCTGGGAATATGGTGACTTGCCCAGGCATTTTTTGAGCTGAATTAGAGGCACCCAGCACCCAAACACACATTTGCCCTGAAGATTTAGCAGACATGCTCTCAAGGGGGATGGTGACCACTGAGCAAACCTCGGGGAGATGACTGTCCTGAGCCCAGGCTTTGGAGCAGAAGACACTGCTGCCATGCAGATCCAAGGACACCAACTCTGCTGTCAGCACATCTCAGAGCTGCAACAGGAGCTTGGTAAAATTGTTGTGGCTCTGGTATAGTTGTTTTGCCTCCCTGAGGACACGCATGGGTTGTTGAGCAAATGCGAGCGATTTAATTTGAATATATTAGTTTGACTATTATCTGAGCACTACCGAAAAGATCACATTTAAAGTTTGATGGAATTCACAAGGTGATGTTGTCTTTTTATCATGCCTGGTAGCCATACGGTTATTTCCGAAATATAAATAATTATTAGAGGAGCAGAAGTGCACCCGAGGGCATACAAAGCTGCACAAACAAGTGAATTTATGGAGCAGCTTTTGGCTCTACCTTACCCTCTGATTTGTGCGTCTCAGAAGAATAGGCTATATCACAGCTACCGAGAAAGGGCTGTAAGATCAGGATAAACACCTTCAAATAACAGCCTGAACATTAGCCCTGGAGATCTGCCGGCGCCGGCTGCAGCAGCCTCCATCACGGCCGGAGCGCGGGTCCTCCCAGGACCTCTGCGGCAACGCCGTGTCGGGCAGCCCAACTTAATTTTTCACATATAGGGCTCAACCTTAAATATCCTGCCTGTGGTTCAGAGAGGATGACCTACCGGGGTACCGGAGACGGTACAGGAACACAGGAGATACAGAGCCTCTTTCTGCAAGGCTGCAATAAGCTCCCTTAGCATGTTTTACCTCCTGTTTACGGCCTGCAGGAACGTCTCTAGCAAAGAGGAAGGACTGGGGCACACCAGTTTGGAAGCGATGCCCAAAGCTCTGAGCCAGGAGACGACATCTCTGAGCCCCACCATCGCACCGGGGCTTGTTCAGCCTCTCCCGGTGCTCCCGCTGCTTTCATTCTTGACACAGTCATTTCTTTGCAACACCGAGAGCGGCTGCGCTAACAGCTGCCTGCGAGAAGCAACCAAGCAAATAAACTCGAAGGAGCTACGGTCCTCTTTCCATGCAAACATCCCTCAGCAGGCAGAGGAATACAGGGTACCTGAGCCAAATCACTTAAGCCAAAAGGGTTCTCAGCAGGCACATCTGCCTTAAAATGTGCAACGCATAGTCTTGCGGCATCCCTGAGACTTAAGAAAGGAAAGGGAGGGAAAGGCACTTTTTACTGAGGACACATTGCGTTAGCAGGAGATATGAAGTACTTGAGGATAAACTTCCCCACGCGGCTTCCGAGTGTTTCCAGAAGCGGGATGGATGCCCTTTCCCTCTCGGCGAGAGTGTTAAAAGAAGTGATTCTAATCTGATTTTCCTCATTGCTCCTACAGTAAAAAACATGTGTGCACCAGAACAGAGCCACTTTCATCTCAAATTATGTGGAGGGCTTTTTCTGTCAAACATCTCAATCTTTCTGTCCCGTGGGCTTCAAGCACTGCAGTTGCAGAGGGTGAGAATTATGCATGCTTTTGCACCAGCAAGCTGGGTCTCAAAATAAATGCAAGCAGCACCTGCTTTGCCAAATTTTTAGCTCCTGAGGGTAGATTTTTCAGAGCTCAATCCCAAATCAGGCATCCGGCAGAAGGAGGCAGAAGCAAAGGGAGGATGCTGGGCCCCTTTGGAAACTCTGGCTGTTGCTCGTGGCCAAAGCGAAGGCAGAGCAGCGTGGGCTGCGCGGGGAGAGGAGGGCTGCAGCGTAACACCTGGTTCTGCACTCTGGGCAAAAAAGTCACGGGGAACAGAGCTAGAGCTAAAAGTTGCATTTGAAATGGGATCAGGGATGCAAACTTCCGTCTCCTGCGTCCCATAGCATCGTCTTATTTTGCTATACAGTCAGGCCTTGCCTTGTTTTGTCCTTTTCTAAGCTCACAGGCAGCTCCTGTGAGGAGCAGGGGCTTGCAAGCACAGAGCAAACCAAAGGGCCATGCTGGGGCTCCTCTGGCAGCTCAGGGGATGCCGGGCTGGAGCTGGGTGCTGCAGCCAGCCTGGGGGCGATGCACCCAGCCTGGGGGCGATGCACCCCCGTGCCCCCACAGCCCAGAGCCCTCCTGGGGCTGCATGCAGCAGTGTGCCACAGAAAAAACCCAACCAACCCAATGGCAAACCATTACTACTTTGCCTCCAAGATTTCCTGAAAGCAGGTAAAACAATTACTATCAAAACCCACAAAACTCATATGCAACCAGGTATTGACACTTGCTTCTCCCCGTGTGAGCAAACAGAATAAGAGCAAAGGCAAGGGGGACATTTAAAAGCAACTGGTGGTTTTAGGCAGGTCCCTTCCTTTATACACAGCCAGCAATAAAGCAAATTAATCTGGTTTCTAGAGGTGCTGCAGCTTCCCCTGACCTTGAGTGGAATCGTGTATTCCCAGCATAGGGAAGAGCAAGATCGATGTCTCCCATGCTGAAGACAATCCTCAAGGCAACTACATCAACAGGCAAGGAAATTCGGAGGCGATTTGCTCTGAGGCAGATGGTGCTGGACAACCAGGGGAGGGGGACAGACACCTCCACCACTGACCCCTTCTGCAGGGACTGGCCGAGACCAGCTCTGCCCACGTACCGCGCAGCCGTCGAGGGCGGCTCGGATGTAGGGGTTGTTGTCGTAGGACATCTCCTCGTCATTGGAGCCCAGGAAGCGGATGGCCTTGTCGTAGCTGTCGGTGGTGGCATCGTGCCAGGCTACAGACTGGTAGCAGTTGTAAGTGATGTTCTGGTGGGCTGAAGCACTCAGGAGCCGGAGGAAAGTCATCTGCACCACTCCAATGGGGTTCCCATCCGAATCCACGTAGGAGAGCTATAAGAAGCGGAGAAGGGGAAACACTAGGCAGTGAGGGGCAATGCAACATGTTTGGGGGGGGGTCTGAGGACCACCAGTCTCACCCATCTTTATTACCATGCACATGGGGCTCAGTCTCACCACCCCACTGGGGTGCGGACCCTGCTCCTGCCAGGCTACAGGCACAGGGCTGCTCTGGTCCTCCTGCAGCCGGGGCACAGCTACCAAGGGCAGTTTATTTCTCTTACTGGTTGCAAGCTAAAAAAACCTAAGGCTAATACAGGTAGGAGGAGAAAGAAAGGGGATTTCAGCCCTCATTGCAAAAATGTGCTAAGTAAATTTCGGGATATATGTCTCAAGTTTAAGCCAATGCTGAGCATACTTCTCCAGCTTTTGAAGAGGAAAGAAAGCAGATTTCTGTAAGGGTTTGGGGCTTTATTTTTCTGCCCTATTTGACATGATTTTCTGACTGCTGTGGGTATTTTGTTCTGCACACACTGGGGTATTTCCCATTCATTTTTCCTGGGCACCAACACCCTGGCTTTTAAGCAATCTTCCTGCTGATAAGGACTCCGTGTTGCCCTTGTTGGTAAGGCTACGCTCAGCTAAAGGGAAAATGCATTTTCTGCCCTTAGGGCATGTCATGAAACACAGAGCTGCACTGGCACAGGAATTTTACTCCATTCTGCACGTCAGGCTCCTTTTCGCCCTTGGAGGAGAACAGCATCTAGAAGTATATTTCTGCAAAACACAATTCATTGAAACCCACTTCCAGCACCTCAGGGATTCAGGACTTTCTGGGAGCTTCTCACATACCCCACCGAGGAAGCAAAAGTGCAGAGGAACAGCTAGTTTGCATGTATAAACTAACTGTACTTCAGGTGGCTTCTCCAGCCACGGCCAAGCTACCAGAGCTGCTGTTTGTTAGTCTTCTATGGACAGTGGGTTTCTTTAGAAATAACCAGGAGAAAAATACAGGCACACAAACAGTGTAGTGTTCTTCAAGGTACCATAAAACATCGGTGCAAGCTGCAAATAGTAGAAGAGATTCATAACCAGACAATAAAATCATGAATAAAAAGATAAAAAAATAAATATACCAACCGGTTGTCAGGATACTGTTGCACTGTCCTCCTGAGAGTTAAATATGACTGACCATGAGAGAGCCACGCATGCCAGGAAAGCTACCAGAAAAACCACCAGGACGTGGAAGGGAGGGGACACAAAATGCCGACGACTTGGCAGACACCCAATGACACAACTGATCTGCAGGACCCCATTCTCTTATTTGTTCTTATTTCCAATCAGTGCTTGGTTTGGGGGCCTGACTGTTATGGAGCGTTGGTTGCTGTTCTGCCTCTGCAGATTGACATGAAGACCTGTCCCAGCTTTGCACCTGGAGACACTGGGAACTGGTTGTGTGCATAAGGCTTGCTCATGGGAACACGGTTTTGCAAAAATCAATCCTTTCCTGTTTTTGCTGTGATAGTATTTCCCTGTGGCAGGTGCCATATGGCTATGAAGGATAACAGGCCAGGATGGGTGGCAGGCCTTGTTAGAGCTACTGGGAATTGTGTGTAACACACAGAAGGAAGGCAGAGTGCAGAAGAAAACATCTGCAACCCTTTTATCCCTCTAAATGCAGTTTGGCTGCATCATGAGAAATAGTAAGGAACCAGCTCCAAGTACTGTGTGTCATTGATTAATGATGGTGCAGAAGCATCAGAACAAGACAGTTTCTTTATATTTCATATTTACTGCATCCCTCTTACTTTAGATATCCCCAGAAGAAAGGCAAGCTTTGTCACGGCTGCACACCTCGTGCAAGTACCGAGATTCATATGGAGCCCCTCGCGCCAGCAGCCTGCGCTCTCAGCAGCACTGAGCAGCCCCGTGGAAGTCTTCCCCTCGGCTTCGGGGACCCCCACGGGCACAGCCCCCCAAGAGACGGTGCTCGGGCTGCGTGGAAGGACACCAGGGAGCTTCTCCAGGGAGAAACAGGAGCAACGCTGCACCCAGAGGGGAGCTCAAACTCATCCATCCTGCCCATCCACACACATGTCAAATGATCTTGGATCCCGGCAAATGTCTCCCCAATTTACCAGTCTCATAGTTCTAAATACTGACTGGGACAAAATGAGAGGTACTTTAAAAAAAAATTTTTGAAAAATCAAACTTTACTTTTATGGCCTGTGTGTTTAACAGTTTTGTGGTTTGCTTAGGCAGGTCTTCTACGTGCTGGTGGCTTTTTTCCAAACAGAAAATGCAGGACAGGTAAAAAAGCAAGAAAATGGCAACACAGAAAGCTGGAACAAAGGGCTCCAAGTAGCACTAAAATTCTTATTTAAAAAAATAGGCCCTAAGCTATAGGTTGGCAATTCAGCCTCTAAAATAGCTGATAAACAGACCGGGGCGGGGGGGAGCAGAGAAGATGGAGAAATGGAGGTACTCGTAATATTAACTGATGAAATGCTCTGTAATTAAGCTATGGAGTAGCTGCCCTCCAAGGAGCTGCAAGGCTGAAGCCTTGGCTTTGCAGCCTTATTCGATGATGCAGAAAAGCTGCAGAAGCGATATCCTTCTTGTGGGCAGAATCAGAGCAAACGTGTTTAGTGGCAACGAAACGTGGCTTAGGAAAACAACGCGGTGATTTTCTGTTGTTTGCCTTTTAAGGTGGAAGTTTGGGGTACTGCAAGAAATCTCTGCCCTGGGGAGAGGATGACTGCACAAGGCAGCTCAGCGCGGTACGTCAGAGCATCTCCTGCTTTCAGGGCCAGGTCGGTTTTATCCACTGAATATCTCCTTCTTCCCTAATTCTCCTGATTTGACTGAGCTTGTTATCTGCATCCCACTAATCCTACAAGAACTGATACACACGAGGGAGATTTCTGTTGCTTAAGAAGACCTGGCTTACACTAATCTGTTGCTGCTCTGACATCCCTGACCAGGGCTCGGGCTCTGTAGGAGCGATCTATCCACAACATGAATGTCCTGTTACAGGATAAAATACCAGAGCTTTCTGTGTTTTATATGTTGCTGTCTTGCTTGCTGACATCAAACATTGTTTGACCTTATGACAGTTCTTCTCCCTTGAAAAAAATCCTTAATCACGACCAAGTCAAATTCCTGTCCACCAGGACTGGGAAGAGCACATGGCTTGAAATCTTCCTTTAAACCGATGAACTCATGTCTCCCAAGCTCCAGGGGTTACATGGCAGCCCCCGATGTTGCTCATCTCCAGTGTGGGAGACGAAATCCATCCTTTGGGGAAAACCTGCCCCAGAGATGTGCAGGTTCACCACCTCAGCATGGGTACCAGTGAGCACAGGCTACGACAGCACCGAGCCCAGCTCCAGGCTGAAGCATCACCTTAGGGGTCTCTCAGCTCTCAGGATAAGGCCACACTGCTGGGGGACAGCAGCACTGGGACACCCAGTTTGCCCTTGCCATAATGGGAACTGCCGAGGAGACAGCAACGGCCCTCCCGGTGGGATGCAGCCCTCCTGCAGAGCTCGGTGGAGACAGACCCGCAACAGCTCCAGCTCTGCAGGGTCCCCCAGCACATCAGCGCGTCTCCTTCCAATGCAGGGGAAAGCTCACCAGCTGCTCCTAGGTTTCCAGTTAAGCAGGTTGGGGAAAAAAGTGTCCCCATGGGGTTTTGTTTCTTTTTCAGTATTCCACCTTAAATGTTTCTACTACGACTTGTGATGGTTATTAGTCCAGCATGCAGAGTGCAACAGGTCTGGCCATACCAAAGCAAATGACGCGCTCTGATTCAGACTAGAGGGCCAAGGTTAGCCACTTACCAAAGACCCCCGCTTGTATTGACTATACCATGTGGAAGGCTGTTCTTTGGGCCAACGAGCCATTTTACTCTGTAAAATATGACATGGGTTAAAGAAAACAGAAAGCACCAAGATGCATCTTACCAGTTTACCGCGCTTGAATTCACTGAACCAGGAGCCTGGGTTTTCCTTTGGCCAAGAAGTAATTCTAGCCTAGTTTGTGGACGGCAAGGAGAAAAGAGAGAAAGAAGAAAAAAAAGAAATAAAAAAAGTTACATTCAGTTCCACAAGCAGAGTCTGCATGTCTTATTGAAACTGTCCAGCTTCCTTTAAAATGTTTTTTTAATCTTTATACACCAGTAACAAGACCAGTTGGCAAAGCCCTAAGGTGCTAAGCCTCGCAAGCAGAACGGGATGGCGTGGTGCTGCCCAGCGCTGCTTTGGCACCGGGCTCCTTTGCTAAGGGCTAATGATCTCTGCCCCCGAGATCCTTTGGATGCAAAACCAGCAGTGCAGTCTGTCGGCAGGAGAGATAAAAGGAAAGATAGAGAGGAAAAAAGGAAATATCATTCGTAAAAGATCCATTGATCTTCATGGGAGGGCTGGGGTGGAAAAGCAATGCTGATAACGGAGTAGGCTGCTGTCAGTCTAATGTCAAATCCAGATGCTGTGGGGCTGGGAAAGGCAAAGAGTGTGATTAAGGAAAAGCCTCTGCATGCCTCCTGTGTTTGTGCAGCACAGGCAGCGCATCCTCTGCAGTCGGTGCTGGACCATCACACATGATGGAGCTCCAATTACCTGGAGTGACGCAGGGGGTGACCTTGACAAGAAATGAGCTGCCAGAGCATCCTTTGTGGCAGCCCCATCTAAGCAGCTGAACCACTTCTTTTTTTTTTTTTTTTTTTGAGTCAGAGCACAAGGAAGGAGCGTGGCTGCCGTCTGCTCCCTTACCCTCCCACAAGCTCCCTCACTTCTGCCATAAATCTCTCCAAAAATGGCCAACCTATATGCAGGTGTCTTGGGATTGTCCTTTCCTTTCCAGTATGCGACCCATAAAGCGAGTCAGTATGTTTCTGCTGGGTTAAAGATGGACTGAAAGGGGATATGGCTTCAAGTCTGCTGTGTCTTAAAATAAAACCACTCAGCCAATACTTAATGCTGGTCCGGTAGCTGTTTTCATCCCTCTACATGGAAAAAGTGTAGGCTGAAGCTTTTTCTTATTTATGACAGTATTGCAAAAGTGTAGCACAATTCGCATTTGAGGAGCATCGCAGCCTGCGGTCGGAAGAGCAGCTCCACCGAGCACCGCGACAGTGGACAAGACGGGGCCAAAGAGCCACTGGCAGACTCAGCGTGGCAGGAGTCTGAGCAGCTCCAAGATCATGGGCAGACTCTGCTTTTTTAGCTGTCAACATTTTGAGGAGAACCATGGCAACTTAATGCAAAGGAGAAAAAAATCCATCTCCTATTTAAACAGCCCTAACAAAAACTCAAGGAATATTTATGTTGTGTGTTATTTGTCCTGTGCTGGCACACATTTCTGGTGTATGAAATTCAGCAGGCAAATGGCTTCCACTGGAGTGGAACAGCTTTTTCTGCACCCTAACCCAGCTGGAGCACAACTGTGACACTGAGAGCTCCCCCAGGCCCCTTTGCGAGAGTTTCTGCTTGGCCAGTGCAAGAGCTGGTCCCCAGGCATCAGGGAGAGCAGCTCCAGAAAACAGAGTGCATGGATCTGGGACAAAAATGACAAGTATGGTTGACCTAAGCACGTCATTTCATTACACAAATAACTTAATCAGCCTTGTGCATCGGTGCCAGGAAGAGCGCTGAGGCTAGTTGCAATCATTTAGGAAACCAAATAACCACAAGAAACACAATGAAAAAATGACAGGAGATAAACATTTATCTGCTCTGCCTGAGGACACAGTAAGGGCAGAGGAATCAGCGGTGCTTATGTACGCAGACAGCGGAGCGGCCGCCCGGCTGCAGGAGGGAAGACAAGGAGCGAGTTAAATGAAGCTCATGGGGAGCCGCAGCTCCTGTGCCAACACACGCTTCTGCCTTTGTAAAGCAAAGTAAAAAAATTAAGGTTTTAGCATTTAGTATGCCTGGGAAATCATTAAAGACTTGTCCCAAATCACAGTTTAAATCTGACTTACTCAAAGAAATTCTCTTTGTAAACATATTCCTTATTATTTTAGAAGCCAACGTTGTGTAACAAAGAAGTGTTCTGGATCTTTAATCCTTACTTGCTGTTGTTCAATTCTCCTGAAATTGATTGTCTATGAATATTCACATTAGGAAACAATCTCTTATCACCATGATATAGAGGGGGGGGGGGGGAAAAGGTGGGGGGGCTTTCCTCTTTCTAATAAGGGGGGGGGGGGGGGAAAAAGTTGTGTGGACTTACTCCTTCAGATTTCTTATCAGGGAAGATGCAAGTCTCTCCACCAGCTGTGAAATTACAGTAAACTTTGAAAGAGTCCCTGGAACATCCTTGGTTAGGATCAACCCAGTATTCACCTGGATGCACGAGAGGGAAGAGAAGGGAGGAAAGAATCAGCACTGTGAAGGAAGGACGATGGGCACTTCAGCAACTATCTTACCAGGGCTGTTTCATGTCTGTTATAGGCTACTATTTCTGCATATTTTTTTTTAAAACTGGGTATGTTCTGATTCCAGATAATACTGTGGCACCTCACAGGGCTATTTTTCCATCATATATCCCAATTCTTAGAATAGAATATTTCAGTTAGAAAGGATCTACAACGATCATCTAGTCCAACTCCTCTCTACGTTTCCTTCTTTATCAGCCACGTTCCTCATCAGGCACCAGGGCCAGGGACTCCACAAATTACTTCTCTTCCTGCACTCGCTTGTATTCACTGCATGGAGCTGGGAAACCCACAGTGTTTTCCCCGCACCCTCTCTGTCCCGGGACACACCATCTGGGAAATCGGGGTGACAGAGCTGCAGATCCTTGCAGGTACGTGCTGGGTTATGTTGAGTGCCCAATGGATGCTTCATTTGCTCAATTTCCAGTTTCAAGGAATTCAGCGAGCCGAAGATTTCCTCCATGCCATCTGCATAGTCCATGTAGTTATCAGCATTTCCATCATCCACCAGCTGGCTGGCGTCAATGTTTCGCCTGGTCCTCTTGGAAGACTGGATGGGCAGTGGCTGGATGACTTCTCCAGGAGGACCCTGATTTGTGAGGAAAGAAGATGCAACTTCTCATTGCACTGGCAGAGGGGAAGAGAGAGAAGAGATGGCCAAAGCAGCCACCAGTGCTGAGCAGCAGCATCACAAGATACACACTAGACGTGTAAAACACCCATGACCGTACTGATAAAAACCCTGGCCACCAGGCGTGAACATTGGGTCCATCTTCTCTTGTCATCTTCCTATTTGTAACCTCTCCCTTTGCATCCTGCTTTCTCCCCCAGCATCTCTAAGAGATGCCAATCCATTGCTATGACTCCTGATGGGCTGGATCTTTGTCCAGAAATCTTCTACTTCCTAACATTACAACACCCATTAAATCTGAACCTCATTTCACACTTCATGTAATGGGTTCTACTTACAGGAGGCCCTGGGGGCCCAGGAAGACCTGATTCACCCTTTGGACCTGTTGGACCCTGGGTGGAAAAACAAAGGAAAACCATATCAGTCACTCAGGAAAAAGCACTTGTCACTTATATCACATCCCAAACATTATTTTAATAGTCTCTTGCTGCAAAAACTTTCCTCCTGTCCCTTCAGACACACAAGAGGAGTCTCCTTGCACCCCCCCAAGAAAATGTTTATTTGGTTATTTTCAATGCTTAGGTAAAAACAAAAGATCAGTCAAATGCTTGGAGTTAAACAGTCAAATTTTGCTTAGGCTTCCTGCAGAAAAGGAAGGATCTTCCAACGCATGAAAATGTTAACTCTCCAAATCAATTCAACAGTTTTATAAATCAAATAAAATCTTAAAATTAATAAAACATTGAATTCTGCATGGGAAGAAGACATTAGGAAGTCGCCCAAGAGGAATTTTTAGCTGCCTGTATAGGAGATCTGTAACATGAAGCTTGCTTCAGTGTCACATTTCTCACAGAGTTCTTCGCTTTTCAGCTTGCCACCTCCCGCTTCACAGTCTATTTTTAATACCCTCTGCTTTACAGCAGTAGATTTTCTCCTAAGGACTATGCACTGGATTCCTCTTTATGATCTTTGCTGCACTGATGCTCAATGAAGTACAGTGTGTGCAACAGAAACCTTCCCCAATTATAATTTCTGGGCTTAGACAGCCTGAAAAGGCTGCATTTGCTACAGTCATCTTTGGCTAATTGCCTTAATGCCACTGATATGGGGGAGTCACAGCAGGTTGTGCACTTAATAAGAGCTCCTCAGCCCCTTCGTTTAACAATGTCTATACTCACTGATGATCCTTTAGCACCTTTGGGACCAGGTGGACCCTGTATAGAGAAAAATATAGAAAGGAGTCAGTTCGTTTCCTAGCAGAGAAGTCATCAGTCTCTCCTTAGAGAGACAGAGTAGTGTTATACCAAGGTCTTTTCTTTAGTTCACTTCCTTTCTGTTTCCACTTTTCACATCCACTTGAGCTCAGTGTTGCTTTTATTTGTCAACATACAAAAAGCATTTGTGTCAGATCAATCTGTGTCAGTGCTCCACACTCCTGCCTGGATGGGGACTGGAAAAGCTGCTGTGTGATTACTGTAACCTGGGGCTGATCCTGGCTCTGTGCTAAGGGCAGCCGGCAACGGCAAATGCTGGTTGCCCAAGGGTGCAGGCTGCAGCCTTTGGGCATCCAGTGAAAAAAAAAAATGCAAGTAGCAAAAAGTACCAAAAAATCACCATGTGATTGTAGATAATCCAAAAGAAAGGGGGAGAGAAACAGGGCGGGCTAATTTCCCTGCCTCGATCATGCTGTGCCCCCTGCGCCCATCTCTCAGCTCATGCATCATCCCCAGTACTCCCCTAACTCATTCAAGTGTTTTTAATGGGCTCAGCTGGGCAAACCCATTCCCGTCAGCATCCTCATACAAGGTCAGGCCAGAAGGACTGCGCTGGGTATATGTGGGAGCACCAAGGTGACTCCAGAAGGACTGTGTAGCTCCCGAGGAATTCAAAGATAATTATTTGTCACATACCGGTAATCCTGGTGGCCCTGGAGGTCCGATTGGTCCAGAAGGACCTGTGATACCCTGAAAAATAAAAGCAGAACAACATTGATTTGCATGCAGCAATGCTGGCCTATAACTACACAACTAATATCTGTTCACAGATGATCACCGGTTTTGGAGGACTCCATTCAAATCTGGAGATTTAACTGGTTTTTAAGCCTGTGCACGATCCAGACAAGAGCATGACCAGGGAATCTCGTATCAGTGCACAGTTTTAAAAATTAGTCCTCTAGATGCATATTTAATGTTACCATCCCTCTGAGTCTATTCAACTCTTCATATGACCCTTGAGAATCTGCTTTCCACTAAAATGGGTCATTTTGGAGCATCTCTACATTTCGTATGTAGAATACACCACATTAATACAGAAAATAGAAAACATTCCTCAAATATTAGCAAGAGTCTCCTGCCAAGGTCGACCATCTCTGACATGCTGTACCTGCTCAAGGGCAGCAAACCCCACAGCTCAAAAGCACATTCCATGAAGGTCTTATGGAATATCTACCTGCTCTCCTTTGGGTCCTGCTGAGCCCTGGGGGCCTGGAAGACCTCTGTCACCCTTTTCTCCCTGCTCTCCTGGCGGTCCAATAAGACCAATTAAACCTGGATGACCCTAGGGGAAAACAGCAGATGTTAATTATGATCTCTCACTGGAGGTAACCAAACACCAAAGCTACCCACCAAAGACATTTCTAGATACAAACCCAAATATCTAAGGTGATAGGAGTTTGTAGCTATCCCTGACACCTGGAAGCAGCAGAGCAGAGCAAAGCACTAGCTTTTTGCAACAGAAAATGCTAGAAATGTAGAAGCAGAACTGCCGCACTGGAGCACCTCCTCATTTCGAGTGCTAACATATATTACATACATTTTTACAAGACAGAATCCTGACCGAAAGCAAGCCAGGTGCCTGCACCTCCCTCTGCCAAAGCGCCTGCGTTCAGGTAGCCCCAACAACTAGAGCTGCCATGGACTGCAAGGACCTTCATACGGGAATGCAGAGATTCAGGTCCTCCATGCCGCCTTGTTGCCATCAGTGCTGGTGATACGGGGATGGGAAACCCAGTCTTGGATCCAGCTGGGCAGCGACACATGCTCACCCACAGCACAACCTGCTTCATCCCTTGGGCCACACTCACAACTCCATCTCTCTTTTAAAGATACGTCCAATGCTTCCAGTGCATGAGAGCATGCATATGGGGCTGGTGGCACTCCTCGGTCTTGTCATGCCAGCTGCAGGACCCCCTCTACGATGACATTGTTTTTCCCCACACCCAGACATGGACATCAGGTCATGCAACGAGACCACGGGTGCCATTCTCACCTTCTCCCCTTTAGGACCAGAGTCTCCTTTAAGACCAGGCAAACCCGGTGGGCCCTTTGGGAGACAGCGGGGGGAAACAAAAAAGAGAATTAATTCATGTAAAATGCATTCACCTATTTAAAAAACTCATGGAATTTGGTGGTCTTGACATACCATTGGGCCTGGAGGACCATCTGGGCCAGGGGATCCTGGGAGACCTTGTTCACCCTGTAAAACAGTACAATTCCCTCAAATCCATCATTCACAACAGCCATGCTCCCAGCTGGGATTATTCAGATTATTCACCCATCCTCATGTGGTCCCCATGCCAGGGAACATTTGCCCTGGCTTCTCGAAGGTGGGTAAAGGCAAAAGGATTTATGTTCCTTTTATGCTCACATCTTGACTGGAAAAGGGACTTCGCAGCTCATGGAAATGTTACCCCAGAGAGTGGGTGAGCAGAATCAAGACTCAAATAAAACACGCTGGGAGATGATATTCATCATTATATTATTTCCACTAAAGATGTTTTAGCTGCTGTCAGGCATTCAAGCACAGGCAGAACATTACGCTGGGAGAAAGGCATCTTCCAAGGCAGATGGGTTACAGTGAAGCAGCAGGACCAGCCCTGCCCAGAAGCTTTCTCAGACTTTGCTCAGTTTGGGAATACTCACGACTGGACCAGGAATTCCTCGAAGGCCATCAGGGCCAGGCTTCCCTGGAGCACCTTGGGGACCAATTGGGCCAGTCTTCCCAGGAGGTCCTTCCAAACCAGCTTCACCCTAGATGCAAGAGGCGGCATGGTTTAATTTGCATTGGGGCATCAAACGACCTTCTCAAATACACTGTGGCTGCTGCCAGGATGACAGAGTGAATTGCAATTCTATGCAAAGCATGTAAACCCTTCTGTTTGTTGATTTTCCTACTGCTCCCTATCCTTTACATGCTGAGAACAAGTCTCCAAACTCCTTCACTTTTCAGCCTTTGCCTATTTCTGCTGACTTCCAGCAGGAACGGCCCTTTGGCTGCGAGCTCTCTGAGCAGGAAGCTTTTCCTTGGTTTGGTCCTGGGCGATGAGCTAGCAGAGGACATCCTCCACCGTCAGTGTTCCTGTGGCTGCTGCAACAATCGGATCTATAATTTGCAATCCCACTCTACATTTCCCCACCACCCCTACTGAAATAATCACCATCCAATAATGCTATGTGTGCCCTGGGACAAGACATAGGGCTGTGCGTGCTGTATTATTTACAACATATTAAATTGCCAAATATGGCACTTTGTCATTTCAAAACAAGAAAAACATTCCCATGACCTTACCAAGCTCTAATTATCTCCACAGAGTTTGTCAAAAGATGAAACATAAGCTTAGATTCGAGGCCAATGGCTCCAAATTCAGGCTAATTTGTTTTAACACATAGCAAAATCAAATCGCTGTCTTTCAAACACCCATGTTGTCTGAGGGTGATCCTTTTGACATACAAAGGACATGGTAGAAGCGAATCCTCCTTCAGCTCTTACCTTGGCTCCTTTCTCTCCTTGCCTTCCTTCGGGACCGGCTGGACCAGGAGGGCCCTAGAGAAAGCACAAAATAGATGCATAGCACAATTAGATCGCACTGATCTGAAATCGTCTATTGGAATTAGCAAAATGATGCTACAGCCCCAGGGAAGATGACAAAATGGAGACAAATATCTCTGAAAAGCTTTTTAAATTAGCTTCCTGCTAAATGAATCCCCAGGCTCTGCCAGCAAGGCAGGAAGAGCAGGAGCACCTCATACTTGTATTTTCTTATTTTTCCAAAAGAAAATAAAAAAATGCTTCCCATCAATTTCTAATGGCTGTGGATGGCGCATCAATTTAAAAAAAAAAAATTATTTATTTTACACCTGCTGCCTTGCATTTACTGTAGACCTAGTAATAATATCAGTTTCAAAAAGTCAATACAAATACATTTGGAAAAATACTTTTAAACAATCAGCTTACCCTTTTCCCTGGGGGTCCAGAGGGGCCTGGCTCTCCCGTGGGACCAGGGGAACCCTAGATGGAAAGGGGAGGAGAACAAGCCATAACTGCACCACGAGACATGGGAGGGAGGAGCAAACATGTAAAACTCGAGTCAAGATCTAAAGGTTGTGCTAAGCCGAGGTGTGGGCGGCCAGTACAACTCCCGACACCTCCTCGGGGGTGCAGGTGGTATCCTGTTTTATCCCTTCCCACCATGAAATGCCATAAGGCATGGCAAAATTAAAATGAAAGACTAGATTTCGTTTTTCCATGAGTTAATTTTTGCTTTCAGGATGTATTTCTGGGCAGCCTGGATGGATGACAGCAGCCAGGCTGACACAGACAGGAGGGACAGGCATCAGGGGACCAGAGCAGCACAAGCTGGTGGGAATTAGGTGCTGTATGTCCTTCTGTGTTAAAAGTCCTTGGACCCGCACACAGAAACCGTGGGGACTGATGGGAACAGAGCTCATCTATCCAGTTACTCACAGTCTGTCCAGGTTCACCATCATCACCTTTGTCACCAGGGGGACCATCTTGACCCTAAAAAGGAAAAAGAAAGAAAGAAGTAGGCATATTTAGGGTATGAATAGAGTTGGGCTGAATGTTAGCAGCAGCAGGTGCAGTTCAGCTGTTCTTCATGTCACCGGGCACCATCCCTTCCCATCTCCCGTTGGGAACACTGGCAGCAGCAAACGTCCTGTGCCAAATACTGTGGATAGCAGCATTCGTATAGCTGCTGCCCCAAAGGTATGACCTTTGGGTAAGGTAAGACCATGGTCAGACAAACAGTCTTGTGGTAGAACTTCCTACTCGTTCCCAAGTAAAGGAAGAGTAAATACCAGATGAGTTGCTGGTGAATGAACAGCGCACAGTCATATTTCACTAAACCAAGAGAAGGAACTTAATTACCCTTCTGTGAGACAAACACTTACAGCTGGACCAGGTTCTCCAGGAGGACCAGGGTCACCAGGGAAACCAACTGGACCCTGTAAAGAGAGAAGGAGGATACCCCCAAGTCAAAGATATTGCATCTAGAGAATTGCAGAGCACTAGGACCTGTAACCCCTGCAACAACATTGGGAGTCACCCCACGGAGCAAAACCCCAATTCCCTACCCTCAAACACAATCCCAGATCACATCCCATCTCTGCATCTTTATAATTTCGTCCTGTCACAGCCACCAGTTCAGCTCTGCATCCAGACTACACAAAGCTCCAGTGTCAATGCTGGGACTTTCATCTAGTTTTTCATAAACATATTGGACAAGTGACAGCAAAATCCTCACAGCTTTGGGGCATGTGCAGATTAGATGATTTTGCTTTTGCTTCCTACATGATGTGTAACATTCTTCACATGAAGATCCTCTCAAAGCATTTAATGACTAAAACACTTCACCATTCTTCTCTGTACAATGTCTATTGTACACTTCAAATGATTCCGAGACCAGCGTTCAGACAATAGCCTTCAACCAATAATGCGATATCCCAAAAACCCATCTGTTAAGAGAGATGACTAACTCCCCTGCCTCCTCTGCTGTTTCAGGCCATCTTTGCTTATCGCATAATAAATTTCTTCAGCCAGCAAGCATCAAAGAAGCCGGCAAGATAAATACTGTACCATTGTCATCTGGTATAAATCAGTATAGCACTACTGGCTTCAATAGAGCTACAGCAATTAGCATCAGCAGGGATCTGACCCTAGAGGTACAACTCCCAAATTCACATAAATCTCCTCTGCACTATTTTGGAAGCTTCACTCTGGTGCAGAGGACCTTGGCAACACATAAGCTCAAGCGCAAAGTAAACCTACTGCAGGCCCTCTCCATAGGGGTGAGTTTTCTGATAGCCTGCAAAAAGAACTAATAATTCAAGCTTCGCTGGAGGATATGGTACAGCTGGGTCTTTTCCTCATTAGCACCCTGAAGAAGGGGACTAGTATCACATATCATTAGAGGAGCAATTCTCTGGCTAGTAAACTATTTCAAATTTCCACAAAAATCTCTAGAAAACATATTTTCATGCAGAAATCTCTGCTGGGCAAGACAAGGAAGGCTTGGACAGAAGGGGGTACTTACAGGGCTGCCTTTGGGACCGTCATCGCCTGGTGGACCTTTGGGGCCAGGTGGACCAGCAGCACCAGAGGGACCTGCTTCACCCTTTTCACCTCTTTCACCTTTAGGACCCTGTAAAGGAAAAAGGGTGCTCCTGTTATCCAGGAAAACAACTTCCCGATCTCTAGTTATCATTTAATCAATTCTGAGAAAGAAGCTCTGTTTGTATCTCCAAAACATGAGGACATGATTTAGCAGTCCCTTCCCACAAAGATTAAATGGTGTTCGTGTTGTTCAGTCGTGGGTAGCCCATATTCGGTGACTAAACGTTGTACTATAAATACCCAGTAACATGGCGATGTGTCACCCGATACCCAAACCAAGGACATGGCTGTTTCAGTCCCTGCAGCCCCATCCACATCCATGCCTCTCTGACACCCCTTCAACCAGCTCCTCAGGGGCCACCACTGAAGAAAAGCTCTTCTCCATCAGAGCAAGAGCCACCCTGTAGCGTACTTACCGGGAGGCCAACCTCGCCGGGAAGACCAGGCTCACCAGATTCACCAGGTTCACCCTGCACAGGGGAAAAGAGAGTGATCACAATTATATTTCTGCAGGATGTTGAGTTTTCTGCTGACATAGCAAAGCCCCTGCACGAGTGTCATAGCAAACTCCTGTGGGCTTCAGTCAGGTTTGCCTGGATGCTTTACCTTCTCTCCCACGGCACCAGGATTTCCTATTCCCCCAGGAGGACCCTGTGGACCATCTGCTCCTGGTGGTCCAGATGGACCTCTGGGTCCAGGTGGGCCTGGCGGGCCCTGAGAGAAAGGGGAGACAAGTTTGAGACATGTTTCTTGGAGCAATATCTGTCAGTGATAAAAAAAGTAGTATGAAAGCATCTTACCATTTGCCCAACGTCACCTGTCTCTCCCTTCTCACCGGGCGGTCCAGGCAAGCCCTGTGGAGGGGATGAGTTTTAGCTGTAAACATCTCAGCTGGAAACCCAGCTCTCACTACCTTAAGCCCTCCCTCGATGCTACAAATTACCTGCAAGCCCACTGGGCCAGGGGGACCAGGGAAACCTCGGGGTCCTTCATCACCTTTCTGACCAAAGAGGCCTTGCTGTCCCCTGGGACCTGGCTCTCCATCGGCACCCTACGAGGAAAGAGTCTAAACATAGCTTGGCAAAGACACAAGGCCGATGCAAAGCTCCATCCCCACCACCTCCTGCTGCAGCCAGCAGCAACGTGTTGGGCATCAGCAGCGCCAGGCAGAAACTACCAGTCCTTGCAGTGCATCCCAGGAGATTTTATGGCAAGAAAAGGGATTTCTGCCAACAGGGGACAATACTCACAGCTGGGCCAGGCTGACCGATTGGACCCTGTGGGCCAGTAGGACCTGGTGGACCCTGTCACGAAACAGAAGCTCAATGTCAGCATTAAGAGCACAGAGTAAAAAACTCACCTGGGAAAAGGCGATGCCCTTCAATACAGCCTCCATTAAACATGCATTAATTCCCAAAACAGAGAGGGAAGACAGGGTCAAGATTCCCCAGACACACCAGCATTCCTCAGTCCTGGTGCCAATGGCACAGCAGACATGTCTAAATGTATTTTTGCTCCAGGAAAGCAGTATCACACTACTCAGTTCTCTCTAGATACTTGTGTATAATTTGTCTTCCTCAGGCTCTGAGAAGGACATAAAGGGTGCTTCAGCGTGCTACAAGCAACTAGAAGAGGAACTACAGCCGAACACCCAACTTTAACAGCAAGGGCTGCTAATGTTTCACAGATATTTACACAGTACATGGGTGACATGGAAACATCTCAGCTTGTTCCTGGGAGCTGGAGGCTCACACTTCAGGCACTCACTCTCTTTTACATCGTGTGGGTATTTGATGAAGCAAAGAAGAAGATGAAGCAATGACAGAAAGACATTAAATTGTACTGCTTTCTGTTTCCAGCACGTCACACAACATAACCACGCTCCTTCAGGGAAGCGGCTCCAACGATGTCCACCCCACTCACCTGCTCCCCTTTGTCACCCTTGCTGCCCTTCTGGCCAGGCTCCCCGATCTCGCCCTGCCAGGTACAAAGGGGCACAGTTAGTCCACTGGGTGACCACTTCCACATCTCAACATTCAAGCAATATCTCTCTGTGACTGCATCCTCATCCCAAAGATGCCAATTCCCACAGAAACAGCCCAGAATGTTCTGAAAAAGGCCAGAGATTTGGCCACTCCAGGTGTAACCAAACCCTTTTACATCCTAAAACTTTCCTTAGCTGCCATGTGATGCAAGAAGCATCATTTTGCAGACCTCGTTAGCAGCACTGAATGATCCGTCCCAGCTAACATTTTCTAAAAATCCTCTGGTCCAGAGGGGCTTAATAAGAGAGTGGGGAAGGTAATTAATGTGGAAAGGCCAGGCACCCGTGGGCAGGCCACCTGCTACAGGGGCTTCGGGGCAGTCTAACTGGATTTCAGCAAGCGGTTTGGCTGGCAGAGCACACACAGCACAGTCTGCCTGCTGCTCCTCAAATCGGATGCTGCTGATCTCGCGGGATTGCCAGCACCATAAAATATCCTTGTGTTATGACCGGCAAGTACATCCAACCCAATGCGGTGGAAGCAGCGGGTCAGCGTGGTGGCAATGGGGCACATTACCCAGTTCCCTCCCAGAGTGACCCTACACAGCATAGAGCTGCTCCCACCTTGTCTCCATCCTCTCCGGGGGGGCCGACAGGACCTGCTGGACCTGGGAGTCCCACTGGGCCCTGGATGCCATCCCGGCCAGCTGGTCCTTGAGGACCCTTCTCGCCCTGGAAGCAGAAGTAGCAGGCAGGTCATACAGAGCTCTCCCTCCACCCTCCAACCAACCCATCACATCCCATTAGTGTTTTATTCAGCTGCTAATGACCCCTGACTGTATGGGCATGGATAGCAAAACTGTTTCCCAGGTGATATTTCATCAGGCTCTCTGTGCTCGCTGTCTGAAACAAGACAAAATTTCTATCTCGAGAGATAAAGAAAGAACAAAGAAATCTACACTGTGAATACGCAAATCACGGCTGCAATTTCACTGCTATAGCAATATAATCAGATTTAAGCCGAACTCCGCCGTCTCTCTCTGGATGACAAACAAGACCTCAAATAATTTTATTCCCACAAGCCAGTTTTTACTGATTCTCATCCTGGCTGTCCCAGCACTCAGGGCCTACTCCCTTGCTGGCTGGTCCTCAACTAATAGGGGTTTCTCAGGAGGCCCTGAGCTCCCTCCTGAGCTTCTGGACAAAGGAAAACACCTGAAGTGAATAAAGCAATCTCTGCTGGCCTCCTGCTTACACATCTACTCATATTCCTCAGACCTGGAGCCTTCAGTCAAATTTGTTTATGGGAACTGAACAGTGGATATTTTTTCAGTTTTCTCGTACATAATTTAATAGCGTCTGAATCCTGGGTGCTCTCTTCTGAATAATTAGATGCCACATAAATTGCCTATTCATCTATCCACTGATACATCATCTAGGTACTTGGCAGGACAGATGTTCATAAAGCTGAATCGCCAGGAAATTCTTGCCTCTGGACTAGCTGCTGGAATTTCTAATAAGCCAGCAAATGTGGAACACAGAGGCTGATAAAGACTTTTGATAACAACAATCAATCACCGTAAGTGCCCTCATCTAGTCTGAAATCACAGAGACCAGGCATTTGCTCATTTTGCTGGGTCTGAAGCTGAGCTTAAGTTTGAGGCAGGCAACCCAAAAGTCCCTGCAAAACCATTGGGGAGTGAATTAGAGGCACAGCCTTCCTCCTCGGGACCGTCACGGTACCGTGCTCTTCAGAAATAGTCATCCCAGCCCACTCCCTCCTGCCCGCACGTGACATTTCACACGTGTGCCTGGGGAGCGAAAGACGTGAGAGTTTGCGCGGGCTGGCTGGCGAGCGCTCGGGAGAGGGACCATATGGCGGGACTCAGCCGCGCTCCGCTCGGGCTCCTGCTGAGAGCAGATCTTTCCACGGGCGCCAGCGGGATGCCTGGGAATACTGATGCTGCGGCAGCACGCAGCATCCCAGGAAGCGGAGCCGACACCTCCGCGGCACCTTCCCGTGCCGCCCTTGGCCGAGGCAGGGTGATAACAAGGATTTATTTAGGCTCAGTGGAAATTGCTGTTGCATCCTTGTAAGCAGTGATGGGGTTGGCTCGTTTCTCTGCCCAGAGGCCTGTCCTTTGGCTGTCTGTCACTAGGAGGTCACACAGGCTGTCATTTTACCTGTTCATCATCCCTCATCCCTTCTTATTGCCTGAAGACATTTCAGTCTCTGGGATCGCATCCATTTTTGATAGCACTGGTGTCCCAAACAGGGCAGTTGAGCAGTTAACATTCAGTGCTGCAATGCACACAAGATGAGAAAATTCCTTCCTAATTGATTTTTTTTTTTTTTTTTTAATCTTTTATACACCTACCCCAGGGAATGTCTCCATGCTCAGCTTCCTACTACATACGTTTCTATTTGACCCACAGCTGTTAATCTTTATACTGGTACTTACTGGGGCTCCCTTTTCACCTGCGGGTCCCGGAGGTCCCTGGGGGCCAGGTCGCCCTGGCAAGCCTATCGGGCCGGCTGATCCCGCGGGACCGCGCTCACCAGGAGAGCCCTGTTTGGAGAAGAAGGAAGCGTACTGGAGTATCAAGCTTTATCTATATACAAACAGAAAGAAACCCAGCAGTAGGATGCTGCAAATGCATCACAAGTGAGCACATTTGATGGGGTGACTGCCATGTGATAACTTGGTACCATCAGCCCAAGGGGTCCTGCAGATCTTTTTTTAATTAAAATCCCTGGAAGGGCTGGGTTCTCCTCTGGATGGTGCAGGTTGCTCAGCAGGGCACATTATCAGCTTGGAACAAGAACATGAGCCACTTCATGGCCAATACAGCCAGGAGGGCTGGATGATGAATATTTTCTTCCAGGAGGGCTGCACTGAGCACAAATCTCAAGCAGGGACAACTTTCAGAGGGAAAGCAGGTGGCTTAGAAGCAAAATTCTCGATGTCCTGAATCATTCCAGTTCCCTCAGCTTGTCACGTATGTTCACAGCTGACACCACAGAATGACTGAGCTATTACATGTGTGTCTTGTAAAATAAAGCAATATCCAGCAAGTCGTTAGTGCAAAGGAAATAACGGATAAAGCACTGAGCTGTGACTAACCCTCCGTTTTGGCTTGCCAAGCTCGTAAATGCATTAGGTGGTGCCTGTAAGGGCAAGGATACTCACTGCTGGACCTGGGGGGCCTGGGGGACCTTCGTTGCCTTTCAACCCTGGAGCACCCTGGAGGGAAGAAAACAAAGTCATTTTGGGAGGTGAGTGCCGCACCACCTGGGCATCCTCCCCACTGGAAGGACTGGGCAGCCTCTACTCACAATGGGGCCAGGGAGCCCTCTCTCTCCAGGGAAGCCTCGCAAGCCCGGGGGTCCGTCCTTCCCTGGGAGGCCAGCGGGACCAGGGTCCCCCTGCAACGACAGCGATAAATAGCTGAGGATCTGCAGACTCCATAGAGACCCAGCTCCTCCCTCTGGGCTCAAGTTGTGATGAGACACTGTGAAGCATCATGTCTTTTCTGAATCACCCCTCTCCGTTTCTGGGAGAGAGGTAGGCATCCAGGCTTGCAAGGAGGGTGAATTCAGTAGGCTGCTGGGTCCCTACCTTGGTCCCTTCTTTTCCAGTGAGGCCAGGAAGACCTTGTTCACCCGGGGGACCTGGAGGGCCTGGATGTCCCCGCTCACCCATTGGCCCAGTCTCACCAGTCGGACCCTGAAGAAACAGAGATCGGGGAGAAGGTGCTGGGTATCGGCAGATATGAAGGAAGAGGTGCAGGCTATCAGTTTATTCCTTTAGGTTGCAATGGGATAGAAGATGCTCCCTTCCCTTAGCTGTCCCCTGCAGTGCCACCAGGAATCCCTGGAGAGACGCCTCCTTTGGCATCTAAAGGGACCTTGCTTTAGAAGTGGGCAACATTGCACTTGACAGACTAGAGGCACTGGGAACCTCTGGAATGAAAGCATTCACATAAGTGAGATATTATTACTACAATTATTATGCTTAGGGTTTTTTTTTAATTGAAAACTTCCTAAGTACTCTACAATCATGCTGATTCTTCCTTATATGGGGCATAAATAATGGATAAGACTTGTACTACATGGCAATTACTGACTGCCTCTGTGCTGTACGTGGGCACTAATACTGATGAGTGTAACATAAGGCCCAGCACAGAAGGTTCCCAAGTGGCCCATTTTGGAGGAGGACAAAAGCCATATGCACAATACTGTAATGTCCCTGCACGCTGGTGTCCGCTGGGACAGTGGTTGTAATTCACGTCACGCTGCAGGGTGCCACTTAGCGTAAGCAGAACGATAACATTGCGATTGCCCAGCAACCACGCTAACTACGCACAGCAGAGCCAAATAAAATTGCTATAGAACCTAATTTGCACTTGAGAAGACAGACAGTCAGGGAATTGCCCCTAATCAGGGAATTTACAAATCAGGGACTTTACACTATCATTAAAAAGGACAAATTAATTACTTTGTAATTAAAGAGCAACCTCCCCAGCAGTTCAGGAAAGAAGACTCAACCCAAAGCCAGTCCCACTCGGTCTAGGACTCTGCCTACAAAACCGATGCACGAGCCTTGCACGCCCGTGCTTAAGGGGAACAAATTCTGGTTGTGCAGTTACTGTTTCCAGATTGCACAGAGTTTGTTGTGACTAAAACAAAACTAGCCCAACTCTGATAGAATCTAGCCACACTTTATATTAGAGAGGGATGCATTTCTTCACAACGACACGTAAGAGCACTCTTGCGTCACGCATACGCTGCCCTGAACACCCCAGCAGCTGTACAGCCCCTTGAGACCGCCTTTAACTCTCTAGCTGCTTGAGGTCTTTTAGTCAGGTCATGTCTAGCTGGTCGGTCTCTCATCCTACACCCATTTTACACCAAGGTAGTTTTGTTAGGGTCACGGGAGCCACCTTATTTACAGCAGCCTTCAGCCATGTTGTCTAAATACCATCCCAACACCTCAACAGGGTGGGCTGGGACCCATGGGGGTATTTCATACCCTGGCCAGGAATTTCAAAGCCTTCAAGCTTGCTTCGACATGACTTTGCCTCCCCTGGAAGAGGAGTCTCTGTGCTGTATAACCTGCAGTCCCAGCAGCTCCAGCTAAACCATCAGAGCTGGAAGAGCCCTTTGTGCTGAACTGGTGAAGATGAGCTGCAGAGGGATGGTCCAAGCACGAGCGGTCATTTCTTACCTGAGGGCCTACGACACCAGGGGGTCCTGGAGGGCCGGTCTTGCCTTGGAAACCCTGTTGGAGAAAGGGAAAAGAGAAAGAGATGACACTTCTGCCAAGAAGTACTCCAGCGAGGATCCCAGACTGCCACCCGACTGCTCCTCCTCTGGTGAAACTACTGACCAGGATCGGGTGGGCACCCAAAGAGAAAAGAAACAAGAAATCAAACAGAAAGTGAAAAATGTGTATTTGTACATTTATACAGGGATGAAACAGAGGAAGAAAAAGGGATTCTCAAAGCTCAGCTCTGCTGTTTTGATGGAGCTCCTGTGGTTCAGCTGAAGGACTAGCCACATACGTATAAAAAAATTTGCCATGCTCACAAAACCTATAGAGGAAATGGCTATTGAAAAGTCAGAATGTGCGAGTTTCTTCATGCTGACTAATACTTAATAACCATTTCCCTTCTCCTGCTCCCCATTCTGGTACTGGCTTAGGCTTAGCTCTGATTTGGGCTAAGCTCCCAGGAGCTCGATGGCTGGGTAACCATCTTCCACTTCAGCACTGGCAGCACCAATCTCCAGCCCCGCTTGCAGCCCCCAGCCCACCAGCCTTGGGGGCTGAGCGAAGCTTTATTTCCTTCATCAACATCTGTTGAAAGAAATCACAAATGTGTTTCTCTCCAAATGCTGATGAGTAGCGAAGTCTCCATGACAGCTAATTATAATGACATTTGAAGAGTGACAATAACGAACTATCACCACTGCAATTGTTTAGCTCTCCTAAGCCACTCTTTAAAAAGCACATTAATTGTCATTCTTACTATAGCATGCTGACAAGCTTGAGAAATGTCATTTAGGGTACACGGGCTATTTTCTCATGGCCACAAAAGATGATCAGATAAATCCCAAGCCAACGGTAATGTGTCATGCTAAAAAAACTACTCAATGCTATTCTATAGCTATCTGCGGATCACAGACAATATCCTGTCATTGATGGAGAAATGACAAAACATCTTTGTGAAATGAATGTAAAAACTTAAAATGCTTATTGCAGAAAAATATTTCAGCCAGTTCCATACAGGACGTTTCATATTAATCTGAAGAAAGGGGTTTCCTTTCATCCTGCCTGAGCCTTGGGCATAGAGCTTTTAGAATTTTTCTTGTTTTTTTTAGATCCAATCTTTGTAAATCTAACATGGCCAAGTATTTCAGCTTCCTTCAGCGTGCCTATTTGCTACTAAACAAAAAGTAAAATAAAGGGAACTATCTGACACTCAGATTTCAAGCCTAGGTTTTCTTGCATGAAGGTACAGAGTGCACTGACCAGGCTACTGATGTGGAAATAATATTTAATTCATTTTTACGTTTCTCTCCTCGCTTTTTGTCACTGTGTAAGGAAAGGGGGGCAAAAAAGGGACTTCTGCTACCTGGTTCTGCACACGTCTGGCTGTACCCCAAGAGGATGCAAGGAGAAGTGATCTTTGCAAGCTTGTTGATGGCATAGATTTAGAGATCTTTGGTTTTCTGGAAGCATTTCCCTGTGATAAGCAAGCTACTGCTGCAATGAGTGAAGCAAGCTATCAGGGAATACTTTCAGACCCCAAATATTTGAAAGCCCATTCTCCATTCATACTCATGCAGACTTGGAGTTTGATGCTTTATTCCAAGTTGATAACAGCAGATGCAAGTAAAGTTTTTACTGCTTCTTCTAATTTGAATGTAGGTGTCGTGGATATTATAGATAACTCAATGCAGGAAGACTAAATGTCACAGTCAGGCTCTGGCAGATGAAAACTCTTCTCTTCACCTTTAAGTTAATCCTGACCTGAGGATTGTGTGTTCAAAAGTACCACAACCATTTCCTTAAAGTGTATTACACTTATGGAGTGTAAATAAATATCTGGTGTTGCACTGAGCAGTATTTGCATTGCCTCGCTTAGCAAATGCCAGGCAAGTTAATTAAATTGTTGTGTGATAAGTTGAGAGGAAAAATGCATAATATGCAAAGCCTTTTTAATGCTCATTTGCTAGGAAAGGCAGTGGAGAAAAATGCAAAGCTGAGTAGAGGAGTTTGTTTTTCTTTTTTCTTGTAAAATAAACACAGGACAAAGAGTCTATCTGCTAACATGCAGCATGCAGTGTTGGGGAGAGAGACAAACCAACAACAGCAAATAAGGAAACAGCCAAGGAAAAAGAATAAACATCCCCAAAAATGCCAAACAGAAGAATACCAATTACTGCATGCAGAGGAATACATGGCAGAAGAGTCATTTTTGCTTAGGGTATCCTTCAAGCAAAAAAGGTGCAGAAAATAGACCACCGGAGACGCACGACAGCCAGGGTATCATACCTTCCACATGCCTCATCGTTCTCCTTTGGTGAGAAACAATGATTACATCTGTGCAACAAAACCTTTTAAAATGGACAAAGCAGTATGCGTACGATACAGTGAGGTACCTAAACAGCCAGGAGCCGCTCCCTGGGTTGCAGCAAGGGATTATTGCTGGAGGGGGCTTAAGCAAAACTTCACGAGGACCTTGTGCGTAGCTTTGGCTAAAAGGCAGCGTCAGCAGAGATGCTCTTCTCACTCAGGTGCTAAGGCAAGTGGCTGATACACAAGCGTGCTGCAGTAACCGGTGCGGACAGAAAAACTAGAGCAAAACCATTACACCACTTGTCTTGGCCAGGAATTGCCTTCCTCTCAAAACAGGCACTGCCAAAACTGGGCTGTAACTCTTACTCTCTCTGTAACTCTATGCAACAGTTCTTGGCACTGGCCGCATGGTGCATCAAGAAGTGAAAATCATTTATTTCTCCCCATTGCAGGTTCCAGAGAAAATAAAACTGCCCCTGACCTAATGCAGTTGGGTGCAGAAAGCTGAGCTCACAAAGGATGGAACCCGTCTTCCATGAAAATTCTCTGCTATCACAGCCCTAGAGTTATGTCTCAGAGAGATGTAAAGCCTGCACATCTCCAAAGGACAGAGTGGGAATGAAAGCACAGACTTTACCCGTAACACTCCAAAGAGCAAGGGCACAGACTTCCCCCTTGGGAGGGCAAAGGGACAAGAGCTTCGGCGAGTCCTTGGGGTACAGAGCCTGGCTGCAGGGGCTGCTGGGAAATCACCCCCCAGCTTCTTCTCCACCTCGTGAAAGCAAGAGTCACACCAAGTGTTGGCTTGTGCTGGTGCTGACCCAGACTCGACCCCAGCCAACATCCTCCCACCTCGCGAGGAGCTGCCTCTTGCAGCACCCGTCACGGCAGAAACCCAACTGCCTCTGATGCTGGTCACCAGCATCACTACATCTCTGCTCACATTTTCTCCACACATGATGCACATGACCTCCACAACCTACTAAAGGGACATAGAGAGAGGAGTTGGTGCACAGCCTTCACAGAAATCATTAGACCGACCTGTCCTGCTCAGAAGAGGGCTGCTTCCCGTAGACCATCCCATGCAGCTGGAGACACACAGACCTCAGGGAAAACAAATGTGTGGCCACATCTCCCCAGCTGCACAGAAGGGTTTAGAAAAACCAACCAGCAAGACAAGACTCAGGACTAATGATCTGCCCAAGATTTTTGGCTACTTACGGTTTCTCCTCTCTGTCCGGGGTGACCAGGCAATCCATCCTTCCCAGGAGGACCCTATGGCAGAAAACCAGAGTGAGAAGAAACATGACCAAGTGCTCAGTAGTAAAACTGTGATAAGGGCTGAATCAACCCTGCTTGCCTCCTTGCATTTGTTCCCATCCATTTTACAGTGAAATGGGGGTGCTCAGAACCCTAAAAGATACGGCCCTTTCCCATGCATCTCCCAAAGGAAAGATTTATCTTACAGGTCCAGAGCAGGAGCGAGCTGTTCACCACAGGGAAGGAAATCACTCCAAAAAGCTTTCTGAGGTCCCCACCAGTATATAATAATTGCAGAGACAGAAGTGTTACTCTGTTGTGCTGTCCTCCCAGCATACAGAGGGAAAATAAAGAACAGAGCAACCATGAAAGATCCTAGCGATATTGAGTCATTAGGAAATGAACATTTATAATCAGCTGCAATTTACTTGGCTATTTAAAATCTTAAACCGTCGGGTTATTATCATGATTTCTCAGAAATGCCTTTTATTGGGTATGTCTCCGCTTGTCAGAGAAGCAGCTAAGACTGAGCTGGCACAGGCAATCACAGCTGGATGGGAAAGACTATGTATTTCTTTGCAAGTTCTAGAATGAGCGTTACTTACAGGGGGGCCTTTTGGTCCAGGAAATCCAGTCGGTCCTTGAGGCCCTGGTGGTCCCTGGGATGCAAAACAAGCCAGAAAACATGGTTAAGGAACCTATAATGCTTTATTATGAAATACTAGCTCTGTGTGAACAGCAGATGAGCACAAAGATACGGAAAGCCAGCTATTTCTACCCTAAAGAAATGCCCCAAAGTGCGAGATGCAGCTGCACAGGGCCATCCCTTGAAAAAAATGCACGGAGAGATAAGACCCACTAGGCACGTCTAACCAAGTGGCCTGTCCAGCTGCAAAAAGCACTGCAAACATGAAGAGGGCTATCAACCTCTCTGTGCCTTTCCCTCCGAGTGCTACGAAAAATAGGTCTTTTCCCATCCCAGCTCAACTGAAAGCACGTGGGAGCTACCAGCTCATGTAGGAATGAAAAAAGAAGAGAGCTGGTGGCCTTGGGACCGCTGCCGCAGGCAGCTGATGCTCTTCAGAGCATTGCTTCCCCGGAGCGGCCCCAGCAGCAGCTCCCCCCTTGCCCCTGCGGTCACAACCAGCAGATTCAAAGCAAGTACCAATTTCATATATTTCCTCCCTGGGCAGTTTTGTAGAAAATTCCGCTGCCGCAGGCAGCTGATGCTCTTCAGAGCATTGCTTCCCCGGAGCGGCCCCAGCAGCAGCTCCCCCCTTGCCCCTGTGGTCACAACCAGCAGATGCAAAGCAAGTACCAATTTCATATATTTCCTCCCTGGGCAGTTTTGTAGAAAATTTACAAACAAAAAAAACCCAGGAAAAAAAAAGCAGAAATTGAGACTAAAATCATGGAAGTCCCATTGTTTCAGTATTTTCCACCTAGCGTGGTATAATCCGGAGAAAGCAGCCTGAGGTCCTAGAGGACCACCTCCTCCAGAAATCCAGGGCTCTAGTTCTCTGCACAAAACCCATGGGTGACTTTTCCCTTTTCCCCTGGAGCGATGCTTACACAGGACACCCAAGGTCCCATTCGAGCCTTCCTTGGGGAGCTCGGAAAGGACCTATGGGCTGCAGCTGACTTGCGAGACCTCTCTCCACACAAGCACGTTTCACCTTGGATTTCTAAACAGATTTTTGCTGCCCCAGGTATGCCAAGCTGCATCCTGCCTCCAGCGAGCTGCCCACCCCTCTCTGCTTAACAAGGTACTCGGTAGGACACTTGCTGCAAAAAATCCTCAGCACCATCGCAGCCCTACAAACCCGCCTCATCTGCCTTGTTAAACGAACACGAATGAGTCCTGCTTTAGCCCCACCGGCTCGCCTTACCCTTTCGCCAGGAGGACCAGGGGGGCCATCACCACCAGAGTTGCCCTTTTACAAATAAACAAAACAACACAGCATTAAAAATACATATATCACTATTGCAGCCGCTGTGCACAAAGACTTCAAATAGCACCAAGCCCACGGTGACACCACACCCCACCGGCTCCCCCAGCCCCCCTCTATGAATAATTCTGTATCAGAAGCAGCATCCAGTGACAAACGAGCAGCTGCTCATTCCCCCCACATTGCTTAATAAAAACACAGGAAAGATAACATCACTGAGCTCAGGATATTTCCACCAGATAACGGCCTCCCTCTGAGAGATAAATGCCACCACAAAGATGAGGTATTTATCAAAAATTCATGCCAACACAAATCCGAGACATTTATTTTTAAAGCCGGCAGTGCAGCAGTGACAACGTCTCACTACAAAAGCTTTGCTTCCATCATGCCTGGCGATTGATGGCCCCTGAATTGGTCTCTGCAGCAGGTTCTGGAGCTGAGTGTGCCTCCAGATTGGCTGGCAGAAAAATACTTATTTTGCCCAGTGACCAATCGCAGGCGCTCGGTGTGCATGCTAAGTGGCTCGGCAAGGTGTGAGGTTCTGGAGCCCAGCAGCAACACGTGCCCCTTTGTCCATGGCACAGCCTAAGGCTTCTGCGGTGGTTCAAATGCTACTTAAACACCAAAAAATAGGGCTTAGTGGAAACGTCAGTGGATCGTAGGGTTGTGCTGGTCCCCGACGTGGGGGTGCTCCTTCCTCTTCAGGTTGCAACGACTCTTAATCCATGCATGCACTTGATGTCCTACTGAAGTGTGGGCCAACACATTTTTAGGATCTATGCATATACTTTACAAGTGGGTTATGAGCCATTTAGCCAGGCAATGAATATCAGGAGAGAAGGGAAACGGAGGGCAATGAACCAGGCAGTCTCTTATACCAATACTTTTTAGGGCAATTCCAATAGGCTCCCCGAAACCTTACCTTTGGGCCAGGTTTCCCAGTGCTTCCCCTAGGGCCTCTTTCCCCACGTGGACCCTTAAAAAGACATAAAATATGACATTTTAGCCCTTCTTGCTACCCACAACACTGCATCGTGATCACGCAAAGCACCCAAGAGCCTGAGCTGCACTGAGTCAACCAGCCGTCCCACCAGCAGCAACGGGATGACAGGAGCCTTCATGACTGGCACTGGAGATCTGATCTTGTTATGACCTTAAACCATGTTCACTGGTGAGCCCCAGCCCCAAATCACTGTGTCCCTTCTGCTTAGCTTTAACTGCTGAAGGCCAGATCCTACCCAGTGAGGACAGAAATCAGATCACACCTTCTCCTGGTCTTAACAAGCTTTCAAAATGCACAAGAACGAAGAAATGGATCATTACCGTTGGACCGCGCTGCCCCCTTGGACCTGGTTTGCCAGGTGTCCCCTGGAATGAAAAAGAAATGAAGAGGAGTTAGCAGCCAGCATCTCAGGCTGAGCTCACAGCAGATGAACCCGCAGAGCCTATTACACACAAACTGCCCCCAAAACCTCTCTGGTTCTCATTTGCAATGAAAAGGACAACAGCATCTTTACTTTTGTCCGAGTCTTGTATTTATTTTAATTTATAATGCTTAGGCAGGTCTGGACAGTAATCCCAATGCCCAGATGACATCTACCATCTGAGAAGGAATCTCTTAAGAAGAAGTATCCGAAGTCCTTTAAAACACCACAAAGACTTTCAAAGATGAGGCCACCCACTCGGACCATGCAGTCCCTTAAAAAGCCAACACACCAGAGCCAGCAAAAAAGCTCTTCAACTCTGCCACCCCAAAACCTACAATCCCTTTTCCCACTGATCTCTGCTCGTCCCTTCACCCAGCTCCCGTCGTGGGGAAGGGCTGGTCCTCGCACCGGCCGGGAGCAGGGCAGGCTGGCTCACACCGATGCACACATGTGTTACAAGACCTGTACTGTTAAATATTTAAGGAATATCAGCAGCAGAGCAGGGTTCCTGCTCTGAGCAGTTATTTTACGCCAGACAAGCCAATTAAGCTGCCCCACATATTTACAAATCTTTCTTCATCTCTGTGAACTTTGTGCTAAACAAGTAATTTAAGACATTGTTTTGCAGCAGCGACAAAGCAGCAGGCTTATGAGATCTGACAGATGCACTCAGCTTCCTCTAATGGGGGACTGTGATTAATTCTGACAGAAAAAAGACAGAGACGGCTGGGTCCTAAATCTGGCATTACATTAAGCTCCATTACTCCGCACCTAGGAGAAAACTAATGGCCTAGAGCTTGCTCCCTGGAAACTATTTTGGCTAGTGTCAAGTTACCAAAAAAATACCCATAGGTTTCACTTTCTTCCTTTGGACCTGCAGTCCACTATTCTTACCAATCACCTGTTAAAGGAAGGAAGAGAAAGACTTGCTTTCTATGCAAGGAACGCAGAATGCTTAAAATATCACTTGCCATTTTCTGCCCCAAATCCATCATCTCACAATCCTGCCTTCTCGCACTTGGCACTCATTAACCAGGCAAACATAAAACAGGAGCTGGAAAACTTTACAATCGGCTTCCTTCAAGCTACTAAAATTAGTCCTG